TGACACTGTATGCGAATTTTAACATTTGCAGATTACTGTAATCAAATAGTTTAAAAATGTATATTAAACACACAGCGGAATAATTTTTGAACCATCGATACTAGACTGTTTTGAATGAAAATCACTTTCGTTTCTAAAACAAATACATTAAAAAATGTATTTCCACATTATACAGGGTGGTCTAAGTTATTAGACACAAGATCTTCCGTGACGTCATGACATTGTTGGTGGGGACGATTAGATAAATTTTGGTTGGCATTTAACCATCCATACTAATAAAGTAATAAATATTGACACAGACGACAGACAGGCAGGCAGACGGAAACGGGAGACCCTTTTTTTCACATTCTAGGGATCGCAAAACGTCGGGAAAACATAAAATTAGCCGTTCGCCGGATAGTCCCTGTTACAATAATTAGTAACAAGAAAAGCAAATTTGTTTGACTTTTGTAACAATACTTTATACTTCTTGAGCGTATCAAGTTCATCGGCTGACTTGCCACTTTCATGTTTTTCAACGTTTCATGACCCCTAGAGTACGAAAAAGTGGTCCCATGTTTCGGTCTGTCTGTCGCCTGTCCGTCTATCTGTATGTCTGCCTGTGCCGATTTTTGTTAGACAGATAATCTCCGAAACTACCGGACCGATTGTTCTCAAATTTTGTATGTATATGTATATTAGTTTCTTTAATTTTTCGTTTTTTCTATTTATAACTTTTCAATTTTTCGACTTTTCAATTTTTCGTTTTTTTAATTTTTGATCTGGAATTTTTCTAGTTTTCATTATAAATATCTAATAATAATTATAACCTGAAAAAAATTCAATCTTTTGATTTTTCGATTTTTGAATTTCTCCATTGAAAAACTAAAAAATTGAAAACTCAAGTATCGAGAAATTGAAAAATTAAAAGTCCAATAAATGAAAAAGTTTTAAATTCTATTAACTGAAAAATGGAAAATTTCTAAAACCGAAAAATTAAAAACCAAAAAATTGCAAATCGAAACACTGAAAATTCAAAAATTGAAAATTTCACATCGAAAAAAAGACAGTTTGTAATAAGGAACTTAATAAAATTAGAACACTGAAGAAAAAAGAATTAAGAATCCAGAATCCAGACCCCTAGAGTACGAAAAAGTGATCCCCCCTTTCGGTCTGTCTGTCGCCTGTCTGTCTATCTGTATGTCTGCCTGTGCCGATTTTTGTTAGACAGATAATCTCCGAAACTACCGGACCGATTGTTCTCATTTTTTTTATGTATATGTATATCAGTTTCTTTAATTTTTTCGTTTTTTCTATTTATAACTTTTCAATTTCTCGATTTTGCAATTTTTCGTTTTTTTAATTTTTGATCTGGAATTTTTCTAGTTTTCATTATAAATATCTAATAATAATTATAATCTGAAAAAAAAAATCTTTTGATTTTTCGATTTTTGAGTTTCTCCATTGAAAAAATAAAAAATTGAAAATTCAAGTATCCATAAATTGAAAAATTAAAAGTCCAATAAATGAAAAAGTTTTAAATTCTATTAACTGAAAAATGGAAAATTTCTAAAACCGAAAAATTAAAAACCAAAAATTTGCAAATCGAAACACTGAAAATTCAAAAAATGAAAATTTCACATCGAAAAAAAGACAGTTTGTAATAAGGAACTTAATAAAATTAGAACACCGAAGAAAAAAGAAAAATTGAAGAAATAAAGAAAATAAAAAACCGAAATGAAAAGTTGTAAATAGAAAAATTGAAGAAGTGAAAAATTAAAAAATCGAAAAGTTGAAAAATTGAAAATCGAAAAATTGCAAAATCTAAAAACTGAAACAACCAAAAGTTGGAAAATCGAAAAATTGTAGAAATAAAGGAAATAACAAACCGAAACGAAAACTGCAAATCGAATTTTTTTTTCCATAGAGTCAACAGCTTGTTGAAATAGAATTCAATGCCCATTTTATAGTAAATAAAATAAGATGACAGAGAAAAATAGTGGGCGGAGCTAAGTTTGCCTTTTTTCTAAAGAGCCTTATAAGCAAGCAGTAGCCCCGCCCACCTACTTCGTCTTTATTTCAGTGACTACTCTTAATATTTTTCAGCCTTATCTTTGCAAGTAGTAGTACTAGGAATACATATTAGGAACATCATGTACATCAATGGGATGACGTCATCTCCAAAATACAAAATAGTATTTTATTTTATTTTTAAAACCGACTTTGGTAAATGACATACCTTCTAAGAAAAGAGAGGGTGGGTGGGCGGGGCTAGTACTTGCTAAGATAAGATTGAATTTGGGAAATGAGATACCTTCTACGAAAAGAGAGGGCGGGTGGGCGGGGTTAGTACTTGCTAAGATAAAACTGACTTTGGCAGATGACATATCCTCTAAGCAAAGAGAGAGTGGGTGGGCGGGGCTAGTACCTGCTAACAAAAAGCTGATTTTGGCTAATAAAATACCCTATAAAAACAGAAACGGTGGGTGGGCGGAGCTAGTATCTGATAAAATAAGACCGATTTTGGCAAGTGAGATACCCTCTGAGAAATGAGAAGGCGGGTGGGTGGGGTTAGTACCTGGTTGATTACTAGTTTTTGTGATAACGAATGTGTTGTTTAGTTTTTAAACATAGCAAAAGAACCACTTTTAAAATCATTATAACTCCACTAAAATGTGAAAAGGATTTCTTTTACTATTTTTCCCAGACTCACCAGTTGATTATTAAGAGCGTAGTGGAGAGTTAATCAGCCATTTTCCAGACACCTGGTATAGGGTGTCTAAAAAATTAATGAATAAAACAATTTATTTTATTAATTAAATCACTGTGATTAATAATAGATTTTACACTGCATCGATCTAAATTGATATAGGTATCCTTGGAAAAATTGATGACGTCATCACAAAATTTTGTAATAGGAAAACTCCCCTAAAACAAACACACAGCACGATCCCTTACATCTAACTTAGAAGGATTATCAAAATAAAAAATTAAATTCTCACAATCAAACCTTATAATTTTTCTAAAAAGCTGTAATTGTTGTACTGAGCGAGAAAAGTTCTGTAGAAATAACCCTCGACTGTTTTTTTATGCCAGTAGTTCTAAAAGTTTGCCTAGAGGTACAGAATGGCGTCGAAATTGACAAAAACAAACAATGTCTTTTTATCTCTAAAATTTTAATAAAACCGCCAGCTTTTTCGTCTTATGAAAATTCTAGTATGTGTATTTTTACTTTGTGAACAAAAAAAAACAACTATATAAATCCTTTAGTGTATTCCATGATTTTCTGAAACGATGTTTTAGGTCTTATAAAATTTTCACAGCATAAATGTTTTGCGTGAATTTTGTTCAGATTATAAATTTATAAACATTGAAAGAGTTTTGACGTCAAAAGGGTACTTAAAAATTGAATTTGTTTATTTGAAATTCGCTGACATTGCATCTAGGTATATACAAAGTCTATAAAAAAAACTCAAGGTGTTAATCCATGTAAATGTTTAAATTGTCCCTCAAAAAAGTGTCTTAATTTTTTAGAACTTCCCTACCACCTGAAGTCAACATTCAAACAAATTCAAAGTCCTAAAGAAATGTCGGCGGGGATGGGATTCGAACTCACGCGAACCGAGCTCGAGTTGCTCAGATTCAACGCCTCACACGACAAATATTACACAATTTTGGAAAATAGTTTTAATTAGAAGTGAAGGCTGATTCATAAACCACAACTGCATTTTAACGTGTTTATAATAGTCGCAGCTATAGCTGCCTGACCGTGATAAAGGATGGAAAGATAAGTTAACTTTGTTACTAGATTTTTCTCCGCACAGAATCATTTTTCAATCAAAATGATCAGATTCTTGTTTAAAAAACATATTATGTCGTCATAAAAATACCGTGTGTTTCATTAAGATTTTCAGTGCTTATAGGTGTCTCAATTATTTTTCGACCGATTTTTTTCAAATTTTGTATTTGTGTTTACTGAAGAATGCAGATTCCGTTTTATGTTAAAAATCTATTGATTGTTGAAAATTTTGAAGAAAATCAAGTATTATGTTTGAAATAAAGTATTCCCCGGAAGAAAACTTTGGACAAGTTTATTCCTCTTTGAGAAATCTGCTCTTGAAGTGGCAGAAAAAAGGGATTTTAATTAATGCGTTGAAAACAAACTTAGCTATGAAAATACTAATTTTCTCGAACTGTTGTCACTTTTGAAGTTTCAGCTTTGTGCTATAAGCGGTGTTATGTAAGGATCTAGCTTATGTCCGAAACTGTTTCTTATTTTAATTAATGATATAGTTTTTCGTCACACGTGCTTATGCATTCGACTTGAAACTTATAGGGGCTATTAAGAACTTAGAAACCACTGTATTATCTACCGTCCAAATATTATAAATTATTAGGGCGAGTCTCTTTTTACGAACAGAACTTAAAAAAGTATTGTGAGGCAAAAAATAAACACCAAGCTACTGTACCTTCTCTCGTACACGGAGAATTTTTTATTTAATGTTTTTGTTACATATAGAGTTATTATAACTGATCGGAAAGTGGCCATTTTAGTCATATCAGTAGGGATTTAAAAAAAATAGAGGCCGAATTTTTTCCAGGTGAAGCTGCGTTTAGCATTCGGATTTCTGTCGATTTATTGTTGCCGAAAACGCCGTATGTATATCTTCTGGTCATAATTCGTCCCTTCTGTCAGCGCCCGAATCTCGAAAAATGTCACCATCCACTCCTGATCTCCCCGAACCTTCTCCACAAGACACCCTTTCACACTCCCCAAGACCCTCCATCGCTTTCATTTTTTCACTTGCACATCCCAGCACCAACAATACCACAATACTCACTCCATCTCCAGCACCGGAAAGAAGTAATCACAGTAAAAAATCAGCCCCCCTCAACCTTTTTCTCTTTGACAGGTCCGGCCGATGCACGCGCACGTTTGATAGCGGATTGAATCGTCGACGGCGCCCGAGTGAGCCGACTGCTTTTCCGACCGCTGTGCGATGAGGACGGCCATTTACTCGCTGCCGGTCTCGAGTTAGTCTGACTCGTGACACGCTAGCGTGAGGGTCGCCGGTGAACCGCTCTTGCCACGCACGTAAAACAATGCCGTTTGGCGTTTCCGCAACTTTGATGAATCAAAGCGTCGCTGCGACCCACCCCAGCGACTAAACGACGTATGAGTACGAGGACAGTGCCTGTAAATATTCACGTTTTGTTTGGTTTTTTATTCGGCCGCGGACGCTGCCCGTGTTTTCGCCGGTGGGACCGCGCTTTACGAGTACCTACGGGCTTTGATGAGGCGAAGGTCCGGTCTGGTGGTTTATGCTGATTTTGGAGAAGTTGTGCAGACCACGTGCTAAGATGGAGCGTGGGAAAAACGAGGGATTTTCGGTTTTCAAGTTGTTTGTCTTTGTGACGGTGCTGGTGGAACTCAAGTTTGATGTCAATGCCGATTTTGAGAATAGTTGGACCATGTACATGGAGCAGCCGTGCTGCTCGGGGACGGGAAGTCACCATGTCAGGCATCATAGAGGTGCGTTGGGGAAACTTTGTTGCTGGTATTTCGTTTCAAAGATTAGCACTATCACCGCTGAATGCACCTGTTTAGTCAATTACACGAAATTAATACGTCCAAACAACCATCAAAACAGAGTGTCTAAATTCTAAAGTCTCCACTGACACTCGTGTTTTTAACATAAATTGTGCATTTTGCCAGTAAATACAATGCACTATTGTATACACACAGTGAAAACCTGAAGCAGAACGAGACAAACTCAACTTCAAAAATAATTTTCTAGTGAACAGAAATTTTTGGCACACCGGTTCAACTTTCCCTCCAGTTAACAAAGGGTTTATCAGCACAATCTATAAATACCCTCGCTTCCAATTAAGCCTTGAATAACATTCTGTAGCTAAATAATTTATGGATAGTTCAATACTTGCTCCCGTTACGGAAATAGCATTTCCACGTGGTGTTCAAAATTTTGGCGTTGTTTGCTCAGTGTGTTAATCTTTGCCTGCGTGTTTATTAGTTGAGTGTAATTAACCTAAAAGTCTGACCTGGGACCGCAAATATTTGTGCTTTCGTACAAAAAGCTCGTCACAATGAATTGTGCCAAGTTTCACATTAAAATTGTAATTTTTGAAACGACTTCGGGTGGTATCAGACGTTTCAATCGCATCAATTTAGTCCGGTGTTGGATTATTTTCATTTGATTTTACATTGACAACTTGTAATGAAGCATTATTAAGGTGAAGCGCACTACATTTATCAAAAGGTCTTCTTTTATTGGAGTTGCGGTGATAAAGATCGTAAGTATAGAGCAGTGCATGTAAATCAGGGTAGTGATCACATTTAAACCTGGTAAACATTTCGAAGCACTTAAAGTATTACTGTGTTAAATTGCATAAAAATGGCTTCAATTTTGTAATTTACGATTTAAAGGCACAGATGAGTTAATAGATAATGTATAAGGATTTCCGGATGAGCGTCACTGTTGCGTCACAAAATGTCGTCCCCATTGACGTCATTTTTGACGTCCGAAATCAATGTGACGTCAAATTTCTTACTTATTGGTGACGATTTTTAAATACTATAATTAAATCTTACTACAAGAAATATCAGCTGTCGATTTTATAAAAAAAAGTTTTAATAGTCTCGACGTCAAAGGGTAAAAAAGTAAATAAAATTGATCACTGCATAACCTAAAAAAGCACATTTATAGCACACACATTTATAATAGCCACTTTTTAATCACAAAATTTTGAAATTATATTTAATGTTTATTCATATTATAACCTCCGATTAAGTCAGTCGAAACGGCAGCCTATATTGCCAGTGAGTTGTTGACCTAAAATTCCTTCAGTGAAAATCTTTACTTCACTCATTAGATAAATATTAAATTTATAAAACTGGGAACACAGTTCGAAAAAATGAAAGAATAATTTTTATTATGCAAAAATTGTATTTTGTGAAAAAAGTTTGTTCATAATTGTTTTAAATACTTTTTTATGTTTCCAGATGTTTACGTGGAAAAATTAGCTTTTAATATTATAAAGCAAAATATGTGTGTGACACATGAATTATTTTATTTATAAAAGCGGAAAAAGCACGGAATTGTCACTCTTTTAACATTTTGCTGGTTAAATAATTTTTGCTTTAGTTCTGCTTAACATTTTTGTTTAATATATAATAAAACAAACTGCTATAAAAAGACAATTTCGAAAATATATAGCGAATAGTTTTCAGATTTTTTAGAGACCTTGTATATACAGCGTGTTCAACTAAGAGAACATGTACAGTGCATATATTTCATCTATAAGCTACTAAACACTGAAATCGTCCTTAAGGTTCATTCGCAAAAACATATACTGGCTGTCTTATGTCCACTGAATTTTCAAAACTACTATCTGTACAGGAGGTATTGTAATAGGGTCCACCTACTAGACGCCTATTTTCATGTTTTCTCAACATTTCATGACCCCTACAGTATGAAAAAATAGTCTCCCGTCAAAGTATTTTAGAAACATCGTGTAGATGGTAAAACTCTAGCCAAAATTTATTTAATCATCCCCATTAACGATGTGTTGATGTGTTACATATGAGATAATCTCAGCAAAGATAAAATAAATACATGCACATTTTTCCATTAATAAGGGTACAAAAAAATAATAAATTTAAAAAATTAGACATCTACAAAACAAAATAGAAAAAAATAAAAAATATGAACCAAAAATTTGATGACGTCCGCTCATTCCATTGCATAATTAAGATTATTTAAATTTTATAGCCCTGTACTTGTGGGCTACGAATCTACCTTGATTTTTTTATTAATATTATATTTTTTTATTGCTCAATCCGTCTTGTTGTTTAACATGTTACTGTTATATGTATCTTTGTTAAATTCTCATCATGTCAGAACAAAATTTTCTTATGGAAAATTCACTTCAAACATGCGCATAACATGCTTCTTCACCCTAGTTTAACAGTCATAGCTTAGACGGGTAATCATAAAAAATAAAATTTGCAAACTTTGTATAATTTTTCGAAGAAGTTGCATTTGTCCATTAATCTTAAGCCATTTAATCATCTGTTCACTGAAACCCCTATATTTTAAATATGTAGCAGTAAAACATCTGTAAAATGGTAAATTTTTGAACGAAAGTATCGATTTTGCAATTAGGCTCCGCCCCTCGATCTCACAACGAATGAAAAACTCATCACAATTGAGCTTGGGATGGATATGGGTGGGGCTTAATTTTTGACTTGTTTTTTTCTTAACATATATAGTATTCTTTGAACAACACGAGACTCAAAAAGATGTTTTTATTTCTTTTAGAGAAATAAGGATTTTGCAATTAGGCTCCGCCCCTTGGCTCACGGCGAATAAAAAAATCATCAGAATTGAGACAGGGCGGGTGGGCGGGGCTTATATTGTATTTTTTTTCTTAATATACACAGCCATCTTTTCATAGCATGAAACTTAAAACATGCTTAAAGTGGTTTTTGCAAGGAAACATGGATTTTAATTGTGGGACAAAATCGATACGTATGTCCTTATACAAATTTTCCATTTTAAACATGTTTTAAGTTTCATGTTGTGAAAAGGAGTCAACACATACTAAAATCAAAAGGCAAAATGTAAGCCCGCCCACCCGCCCTATCTCAATTGTGATGATTTTTTTTTTATTCACCGTGAACCAAAGAGGTGGAGCTTAACTGCAAAATATTTCTTTACAAAAAATTAAAACATGTTTTTGTGTATCATGTTGTTCAAAGAATACTATGTATATTAAGAAAAAAAAGGCAAAATGTTAATCCCACCCACCCACCCCATCCCAATTGTAATGAATTTTTTAATTCTTAGAAACTTAAAACACGTGTAAAATGGTAAATCTTTCTAATGAAATATGGATTTCGCAGTTAGGCTCCGCCCCTAGGTCTGTCAACCAATAACAATTTCATTACTATTTAGATCAGGGCGAATATGGGTGGGGCTTAAACTTTGGGTTTATTTTTTTCTTAATATATGTACATAGTTTACTGTGTATAACACGATTAGTTAAGAACATATTTCACATGGTAATTTCTCGTAGAAAAAAAAAGGATTTTACAATTAAGCTCCGCCCCTCGGCTTACGACGATTAAAAAAAAATCATCAGAATTGAGACATTTATTATATTTTGCTATTTTTTTCTTAGCCATAGCCATCTTTTCACAACAAGAAACTTAGAACATGATACATTTTTGTAAGGAAATACGGATTTTGCAATTATAGGGCAGAACCTAATTACAAAATCGATGTTTCCTTATACAAATTTTCCATTTTAAAAATGTTTTAAGTTTCATGTTGTGAAAAGTAGTCAACACATACTAAAATCAAAAGGCAAAATGAAAGCCCGCCCACCCGCCCTATCTCAATTGTGATGATTTTTTTTTATTCGCCGTGAACCAGGAGATGGAGCTCAACTGCAAAATACTTATTTCTTTACAAAAAATTTAAAATGAGTACCGTGTTGTTCAAAAAATACTATGTATATTAAGAAAAAAAGGCAAAATTTAAACCCCGCCCACCCACCCCATCTCTATTGTGATAATTTTTAAGAAAATAAGGATTTTGCAATTAAGCTTCGCCCCTAGGTTTGCCAAGGAATGAAACCTTCATTACTATTTAGACCAGAGCAGGTATAGGTGGAGCTTAATATCTTTGGCTTTACTTTTTTCTTTATATATTTAGTATTTTTTGACTTACACGATAGTCAAAAAAATGTCTTACATAGTAATTTCTTGTAGGAAAATAATACGAATTTTGCATTTAAATTCCGCTCCTGTGACTCTCGACGATTAAAAAAATCATCACAAATTAGATAGGGCGGGTGGGCGGGGCTTATATTTTGCCTATTTTTTTAATGTACGTAGTCGTCTTTTCAGAACAAGAAACTTAAAACATGTTTAAGATGATAAATTCTTGTAGACATGCATCTGGCAATTAAGCCCCGCCCCTCGATCTGACAACGAATGAAAAAGTCACAATTGAGAAATGAGATCGGGGCGGGTATGGGTGGGACCTAATCTTTGGCTCTGTTTTTTTCTTAATATACGGAGTATTCTTTGAACAACACGATACTCAAAAACATGTTTTTAATTTTTTGTAGAGAAATAAGGATTTTGCAGTTAAGCTCCGCCTTTTTGGCCCACAACCAATAGAAAAAATCATCACAATTGAGTTAGGGCGGGTGGGCGGGTCTAGATTTTGCCTTTTTTTTCTTAATATGTGTAGATTTATTTCGACAACAAGAAACTTAAAACATGTCAAAAATGGTAAATTTTTGTAGTAATCAACTTAAATCCTCCACTTTTTCTAAGACCCCTTTAAATAGGGCAAAGTAGACAGTAAAACTTACATCCCCACTAACAATTCAATGACGTCGCCTTAAAATTTTGCCGAATAATCAAATTTTATAATTTTTGGGAAAAGCTGGATATGCTATATTGTCCTTCAGTTTATTTTTTATATTTATATCAAGTTACAT